ATTGACACAACAAAGAAATTTCCACCACTGGAGCATCCTCATCTTAAATCCGAACTAAAGCAGCCGTGGGAAGAGAGCTGAATAATTGAACAAAATGATGGACTCTAAAGCACCAATGCCATGGATAGGCCTATATGCTGCCGTAGCATCTCTAATATGGACTCTTTCACTTGTCATTGATTTAGTGACCTCTGTCCGCCATAGAAAATTATGGTTCCCTTGCAGATATTCTGCTCTCAACGCTGCTTCCTTGACTGTGTTAGCCATCGCAGTGAAGTTGTCAATGGACCTAACTACCCCGATGGAAGGTAGCTATGATCAAGACGCTAAAAGTACTAGCACTACTTTCTTGTGTGTTTCAACCACTCATTTCATGCCTTCTTTGGGATCCATGAGTGAAGGAGATATAGTAGTGAACTTGACAGCATTGGGTATCCTTATAGTGACGCTTACCGTAAATGTTACCATCCAAGTATTCACAGGCGTAATTGAAGATCATTTCCAAGTGGTGATTGTCTTTATGAATGTTTATGCGTTCATTGTATTGAGTTCTACTGCTTTAACGGTATTTACAAGTAAAAGGTATTTGGAACGTAAGTACAAAGAATTGCAAACAAGAATTTCGGCAGCGGAACTACAAGGAGACCAAATAATGGACTTTGACAAGTTAAAGTTGTGCGTGACGAAGTACTGGGTGATGGCAGAAACAGGTAACCCTCAGTTTGTGCTGGCACGATCTGAGGCCAGCGTTGTTTTATTCATGATCTGCATCCTAAGTTATACTTCTAACGGAACAATTTATTACAGACCCTATAAGAAAAATGCTGCTTCTGATTATAAATGGTCAGTATATTTTGTTTATTGGGCTCAATATGTAGGCACGATTCTTTGCACTGTCATGTCTTTGGGAAGACTTTTAGTAGCTTTAATTCACACTGTTCGGAATATTAGAAAATGTACCATCTCTAGCATTTCCTTAGAAATAAAGAATTACAGGATTAAAAGATTGCTAGAGTGGAAAAGGAGACTCCCACCATTATATGTTCGATGCCAGAAGCATAGAAAAACTATTTATCACATCAGAAATCTACTTCTCAACTTGTGTATAGGAAGTCAGATAGTGGTTGTGATGGCAAATAAATTGCTTCTTCCCATCTCAATTGGTGGAATTCTCTTCTTAATGGACAGGGAACTAGTTTCCAGTCTCATAGAAATTATGATCCCATTGACCATCGTACTCGTTTTTGGTATCTTAAGGATGAAAATCATCAGATGCTTGGTGATGGTAAAGAAATTTTTCTTGAGGCAATCTGAGGCCTCGGTCAATACCAATGAAGCAGAACACACGGTTGGTTATAAGCAGGATCTTAGAAATTTTGTTTTACATCTAGAAAGTGAGGCAATACATGATGGATACCTGATGTTCATTAACACTTCTATTAATTCATCCATAAAGAAGGGCGCAAAGCATCAGCCTAGATATCTAATAGAGCTTATGGAGAATTCCACCAACTTCGAGGGTGTATCAAAATTTGAAAGTGATCAAGTCTCTCCGATTATTTGCACAGAACCTCTTAATTGCTGGAGTCTAGCCGTGGCAACACTAACTAGCATCACGATTGCTCTTCCCAATGTTCAAAATGAGAAGAGGAATCAATTCTTGAGAGGTGTCATTGAAGGTTTTAA